TACCCTAGCCATATGTATCCCAGCTCCCCAGCGATTCCATCAGGCGGTGGAGTCATTTCGGCTACTCATCACTGTCAGGAGGAATGCTGAAAGGTTCTTGCAGCATAACAACAGCGGGTTTTTTCGAGTTGATAAGGGATCACGAATCAGCGGGGTCAGGCGTTAGCCGAATGAACGCCCAGGTCATGAAGAGAAATGCTGCTTCGAGCAGAACAGAGCAAGTGTGGAGCAACGGGAGAAAAAGTTATGACATCCTTTACTCACTCTTTATTCAGATGTGGAGCGAAACATATCTGTACAATTGCAGTGAAAAGTTTCTTGAGCAACGTCCTTGAATGATTAGTAGCACTGGCAGAGAATGAGCATGTATTGCATAAACATTCTATACTACTGCAGTACCGTCCCTTCGAACAGAGTGAGCATGAACCTGACTCAACTACAAAAGGTCAATTACTATGATTGTACCTACGTACAACCGTGTCTTATGCGTATCCATATACATATATACCTACGCAAGACGTGGTTTGTCTGCTTCGTTCGTCCCTTATTGGAATGTTTGCGTACCATTATCTCTGAGACGCTATTTGTCGGATGAGGTTCAACAAATCGCATCAGTAGAGGAGGCATCGGTACATGTCACGGCGACCGTGAGTAAAGCGTGTCATCAACGAGGACAGAAAAGCGTGTGTAATAAGTACAATTGTAAATTCGAAATGAAGACTGTTTTTTTCTCTGGTCAACGCGAATTCGAGTAGAGGAAGCTAGCAACGAGGTATGCATTTTATTTTTAACATAGATTTCTTAGAAATTAGAATAGGTAATGTAAGTAAGGAAATACGTGTAGTTCAAAACGTTAATAAGATTTCAAATCTGTATCGTTGTTTTTGAATATGTTCATTTAGAAGTAATACAATTTACTAAAAATGTTCAGATCTATTCATAATGGAGTAAAACAGTTTCGAGGGCAATCTAACATAATATTTCAGATCGGTAATAAGCGGAAGGAGCTTATATTTACCCTATAGAAGAATCTGCCGGAACACAATCCATACAGTTAAATGTCGTCCTCGAACGCTTTGTTATGACGGAAAATTTCAATGTTTATTTTGCCGCAAATCTTCCTTATGCTACCTCAGTGTGAGTATGCTACTATGGTCACGAGTCAATCTCTAAACTGCGTACAATTTTGCATCAGCTGTATGCGATCCTTTGCAGTTTTTATACGACCTGCATTTTCTGAAATTATACCTATTAGGTTTTAAACAAGCTAGTTGTACCTATTGTCCCTGTCGAAGGCCATAGTAGCCAATGCTAAGGCTATTTCCGTTTTTACTCAATTTCAACTCCGATTTTCATTACTGGTATACTGCACGATTTCCTTCCTCAGATTTGCGACGACATACCTTAATATATCAATGTGTCGAACGAATGGTAAAGGTGCTCCGCAATGCTTTAAGTATATAATAGAGTGTTCTAACATATTTAAGATATTTCTAAACTCAAAGATGTACTAAAGAAACTATGTACTCATGATAACGGTCACTGCACGGCCGCATGTCGACCTTGATTGGTCGTAGCTTAGTTTGATCGAGTTTGTTTGGCAAGGCAACTTCCGCAACTGATTACGGCCGTAGCATGCACAGCAATACATACATTTCTTCAACATTTCTATTATTTATGCCTAATAAATCGCCTAACTGATGATACCTTTAAGTGGGTAAAATTAAAACACTGAGAATTTATACATCATCTAATAATACTCGCTATTCATTTATTCACTTTCCTCACATTAACAGTCTATTTTATGACAGGTGCTGAAAATTGTTTCGAAAAGAAATTACATGTCTGAGAGCAGTTCACTGCGACTTTCGTAATCTAGAGCAGCTACATTGACAAGCGTCTAACCATTTTATAACTGGAGTTCATGATACCGCATGAACGTGTGGGGTGATCATGTACGCTGTCCCGTTATTTTCGCACCAAATGTGTTCCTCTCTCAGTAACTTGATCAAAAAACCCTTTTTGGAGTTCTAAACGAGATCTATTAGTTTTCTAAATTGAAAATTAGTAGTACAGTAAAAAAAAAAATGAAAAACCAGTCCAAACAAATTACATTGCTATTACAAAGCGGCAGTGAGATAACGAGTACAGCTTGGCCTTACATTTTCACTTGTTAATTCAACTCCTTTAATAATCAAAAATAACTGGCTTTTATATAACATCTTATATTGTATCGATTTTTTTTACTTAAAGATGTTTCTTTTTATTTAACAACTGTCGGTTTAGGGAATTATTACATTCACCTTAGAGTCTGAGCTTTTTTTTCGGAAACAAAATTTACCCAGAGAAAGCAGGTTGCGACAACAGACTTATAAAACAAGGTGAGGTTTGCGATCTTTCTATTCCCGGAAAAAAGAAAACGAAACGAACGACGAAAACCAAATTTCTCACCATCCAACATGTCGGACAAAAGCGGACGTAAACAAAAGCAGACGAAGTGCACAGCATTCTATCAACATTTCGCAAAAGCAAAATATTCATTACAAGTAGGGAATGTATAATCATGTAAGATCGTTTCCCTAGGCTTAATACACAGAATCGATGATCGTAACAAATGTACATCGAATAAAGTAGAATACGTGAAAGCTTTATGAATAGCATCTCTTAAAATTTAAATGATGACGCGTGTCGCACCTAAAGAATACAAGACAGGAATATAAATCTCTAAACCTGGCAAACGTGTGTTTACGAAATATCAAATAGTCCAGCTTGTAATATGATCATTTCGTGTAAATGTGGTATAGTATACAAGCTAAATTAGCAGAACCTCGCCCGCATCTTCTTTCATCTTTGTTCACATATCTGTATCATTCAGACGATATATATGTATTTCTCAGAGCAAGCGATAGTATAAATAATCATCGGTAATATAATAATAAAAAATAAACAGTAATTAGAAGCCTTACATTTCCTGGGTGTGAAAATTCTGAGTGGAACGTTACCGTGAAAAAGAAGTTAAGATGTAAACAATGAGACAACTTAACCGATTTATCAGACAAAAATTCTTGATTATTGATTCATGGAATAATATGCAATAATGCCGCAACCGTCCCATAAGGTTCGATTACAAAGTTACTCATATTACTTATGCACACTAAGTCAAGATCGATAGCGGTAATACTGATCTTTAGCAGCTCTAAAACTCATATTTATCACTCTAGATATAACTTTATGTTGACCAAGATAATATGCTTTACAAGAATTGGAGTGCTTTAGGAGATTTTTGTCATCCAACTCAAAGAGACATGCAACATCTTTGAGTATTGCATAACGAACTTAAATTTCCAAATATTTTACAAAAAGCAAATCGACCATTCGGAGCCATCTCAACGCCGTCTCAGCTGTGTGTCTATGGTTGTTATTACGCCGCTGAGACCATACGAGACTCTTAACTCACGGAACTGGTAGTACACGTTCTATAGCACCACAACGCACCCTAAAAGTTGGTAATTATACTATCCTCTAATATTTTCTTACTTTTTCCAGTAGCCCAGTTCTTTACATTTGCACTGCGACATTAAAAACTATTTGCCCACTGCCTGAGCAGATTTATAAAGTGGCTCCGGTGAACGCATATCCCAGTATAGTTGGTAGATGTCCGTCGGTCTGCACTGAGCTGTTTCCGTTGCGTTATATGTCATTTGTATCTCAGCCCCTGACAACATTTCATATGAAGGGTGAAATACCATACTGTGGTTTGTACCATTATTCGACTTAGCCAGAGATCTACTCTCATTTCTATCGGGCCCAACAACGGGATGAACAGATGCAAGTGAACGGTTGCAGAATCCGGGATTTATTTAAAGCTCTATATAAATAGATAGCGTACTGGAGCTGCAGGGTCTTAGAAGAACGTCAACCTTTCTGAAAGTGTCGGCTTAGATTAGGTTTTATATATCAGACTGGGTTTACCTGAACTAACTGAACTGAATTACCTGGGGTGATATGAATGTATAATATATTTTAAGGAGAACCTTCCTTACAAGATTAGCTAGTTCCCTGAGCTATCCGTTTTCTGGGCTCTTTAACACTGACAGCATGCGGAAAACGTCGAGAAACTTAATTTAAAAATCAAGATGCAGAATACGAATCCCTTAATTGTTGATAGCACTCGTTTTATTTACCAGAAATATTTTCACAGTATATTTCTAACCAGCATATTTATTGCAACCGCTGTAACCCTATCAGCAGAAATGCAATGATTTACTTAATTAGGCAGCTAACCTAATCACTTAACTGTTTCACTTTCTCTTAACATCGACCTATATTTTTCAGTACGTGACTAAGATGCAAAAATAGGTGTTTTAGAATTTCCCTCTTGCGGCATGACGGGGCCCACCTTAAACGTTTGCGAAGAATAAGGTCTTTCTCATTGAAAAGACCCTTTAAGAACTTCCGATTAATTAATCATCAAGGTAACGCTTTTGCTATGCGTACTACATCGATACTGCCCTCTTTCCTATCTTTCCCCTATTTATTAGCGAATTTTTCAATGTTGTTGATTTGTAATGATAACAGGGAAATTATTGACATCAAAAAACGGTAAAAATGTTTTACTCTACATGATAAACATAACACACACGAAATCAATACACCATACCGATTGGAAACAGAGCAGCTATTGTTTCCTGCGTATGCGAACACATTGCGAACATTTCGGTGTTGCTGGAGAACACGAACTTCTTAGTAACTTACTAATTCGTCACATCTATTTACATGGTACAATCATTGTGCCTTATGGTACGTGATAAACAGTTTAGCAAATCTGAAAGGTGTTATTAACCACAACTAGAAAACTTTACTAGTCAGCTGTGAACCTATATTCTGATAAAGAACAGATCATTTTTATAATTATATTCAAAATAGTGCTAACCGAAACCACAAACAATGATCTCATCATATATAAATCATTATACTTCTAAATTCAATACACGTATAAATACATTATGCTCACGCATTTATTGAATTACCAGTCAGAAAAAAATTACGATGAATTAATTTCATGTGGTCCATCGTTAATTAAATGATTAGCGAGTCGTTTTGGTGAAGTTACTTTAGTTGAATTTATTTTAATGTGGCAGCGGTCATTACGTAACAATATGCATTCCGTTGACAGGAACCGGCATATTTATGGTGTACCTCATGACAATACAGGATCTGCCGGTGCCGCTAGATGAAACGAGGGGTTTCAGCCAGCAAAACTCACAGCAAGCCGACCTTTCGTGCCCAGATCAGTGACGGCAAACGTATTACCTCCGTTCGGTTCGTTCAGTCCCTCTGGCACGTTGTGTTTACCCGCAGATGTTACGAACAGCGTGCTCAGATCGGCGCCCCCGAAGCAAACTGACGTCGTATTAAGGGATGGTATATTTACTTGGTTGAGCAACTTGCCTAAACGTGAATGCAAACGATAACAAACAATTCGACAATTTGAAACAACCATGATGCTACGTATGTGATCACAGTTTAAAAGAACCACTCGGCTCGGTGAAAGTACGCACACATAGAAACAACGTTAATGTAAAATAAAATATTTAAGAACAAGAAATTAAACAGTTTCAGTCAAATGATAATTAATAAACTTTGGTGGCTGAATTCATATTTCTAGAAAACTAGCGCACAATGAACTTGTATCAAATCCTCGATAATATTAAAGCGGCATATATAGGATTTCCTCGTCTGTTGCTTGAGACTCTAGCCTGCAAAGAAAAGCTAGTATACATAAGAAGCGAGGTAGAATTAAAATAGATCATATATTCGTTATGATTGTAATAGGTTTGAAGGTATTGAGAAATGATAAAGTACGTAAACACTTCTAAAAATAAATTGATACGTACCATCCCTCGAATCAATGTTAAGTATTTTATTACCACCGAAGAGAGCTACCCAGAGATTATCCTGGACGTCGATCGTCATTCCATCCGGTACCCCCATTCCACTCCATGCCTCAGTCTTGAAATCCACCAAAACGCAAGGATTGGCTGAAATCACCTCAAGCAATAAATA